TTTTTTTTTTTTACTCAAGGTCACTTACCAAAATGTTTTATTTTTATTCGTAAAACATGTACTGGTTTAAATCAGAATTCATCATGCATACTGTATATGACATCAACAGCAGTTCGATTTTGAATGCAGAACATGTCCGTGAGAGATTTCAAATCTCACTCTTAAAATTCTTCAGTAAATTATTTTAGACATAAATTCAAAGTATTATATTTAAAAATCCAGTATACATAGCAAACCTAAGGCTGAAATTATCGGTCACACTTTATTTTAAGGTCCAATTCTCGCTGTTAACAAACCATTATCTATGATTTTTGCCTCGATAAACTCCTAATTTGCTGCTTATTAATAGTTAGTAAGGTAATTTATGTTAGTTAAGTTTAGGTATTGGGTAGGATTAGGGATGTAGAATATGGTCATGCAGAATATGTGATTTGTAAGTACTAATAAACTGCCAATATGTTAATAATAGGCATGTTAATGAGCAACTAGTTAATAGTGAGATTTGGTCCCTATACTAAAGTGTCACCAGATTATCTAACAACTATGTTAAATGCTAGAGCTTTTCAAGCACTGTAATGGTTTCAAACAACATCCTAATATTTTATTGTTTTATGGTTTATAAGTTATGAAGTTGATTGTAAGAATTGTAACATATTAGTGCAATTTATTAAGTAATATATTTATGCTTGTGTATTAAATGATTGCAGAAAATGAGTTAAAAGCCAAAGTCCTAAAGCTGGAGGGTGAGCTAGAGGTAAGGGAGGTATTACACTAATAATTGTGTGTACAAGTGCACTTATTTGATTTGCATCATCTGTGTACAAGTACAGTCTTAAGAGGATTACGGGCTTAATGCCTTGTGTGTTGCTGTCTGTTAAAACTATAGTTGTTCTGCACATCACATTTCCTTTGATATGTTTATTATTGTGAAATAAGCGAGATGTCATTGAGCTGCACAACTCATCAGTGTCAGAGATATATACAGATGGAGAGTTTTGGGTCTTGGGTCTTGAGCTTTATTCAGATCCGCCTTGCTTCCTGTCCAGATGGCCCAGCGCGTGATGGGAGTGGGTGACACGCGTTTCCTCCGGGATGAGATTCACCAACTGGAGAGTCAGCTGGAGCGCAAAGAGAGAGAGGTGACCCAGCTGGAGAAGGAAATGGGCAAGGAGAGGAAAGCCAATGAGGAGGTAGGCACTTTCCACGAATAGGGTACAAAAGAGTGAGAGAGAAACCCTGAAGTCTTTTTTTTTTTTTTATCAGTAAATGGTCGGTGAAAGGAAGTGCTAAACCTTCAGATATTCCCTGTCGAGCTCAAACTAAATATTAGATGAGCTGTTCTATTTATATGATATTTGTTATTTCGGCAACCCTGTTACCAAAATTTGGGACATGAATAAATGCATTTTAAAACCAGAATTTGTGTAATTTTGTTGTTTTTCCAGCAATAAACATCAAAATTAAATAGATAAAAGTTGATCAAATGTAATACAACAGTAAAATATACCTTAGATAATAGGAATGTTAATTTAAATGTTATCATAACATATCAGATATTAGGAGCTGTTAAATAAATTAAAGAAAATTGCATTTTTTACATTAACTTTGGCAACGGTTGAGTGTTTGACTTGATGCACGTTTAAATTTGTGTAAAAATTGAGAACGTGGAATGAGATTATTCCCTTTTCTTCCTGATATGCTATAGACAGGGTCTACAGGGTCTGATAAATGTTAGGTTTTGGTAATTAAAATCTAAAAGATAAAAGACATTTTTTGAATTGAGATGTGTCAAAAAAGGTGACAAAGTTATGTATTTTGATTGTTGGATAAATATCCTGTTCATTAAAAACAAAAAGTATGGGATAATAATAGGGATGATGTGGAATTGAGAACAATCTAATGCATTGGTTGTATATTTTGCATCTCGCAGCTGGCTCTCCGTGCTGAAGAGGCAGAAGAGAAGAACAGAAAACTCAAAAGAGAGGTATGTCCAGTCATTGCCTGTGTAAAGACTACAATTTTAAATCTTTCTCTTTCTGTTACTTTCATTTATTCATTCCATTATCTCGCTTATGTCAGCTTTATTTGCTCCTCTTCTCAGCTTTATTCCACAACTGATAATTTCATTTTTATGCATGCTTGTTATTGTTTTCTTTTTATCCTTTTCTTTCCTTGCTGTCATTTCTTGTCAATGCCCCCTCAAGATAAAGCAGCTTACAAAGAAGGTAAGACCCCAGATTAGGCAGAATTAGAGAAGCCAGTCTGTTTATTAGAAGCATGTTTATGTCAGTTGGAACTGCACCACCAGTCTGATCTGTTCTTCAAGGTGTCCTTGGATAAATTAAAATTGCCATCTGGTTTGGCATATTTTTGTTATTGTTGTTGTTTTTGCTATGGTAGACTGTTTCATTAATTTAAAACAATTTTCTCAGGGAATAATTTAACTAAGCCCACCACAAAAAAATATGTAGGATTTTATGTGTATATGTCAGAGAAAAGAAAAAAACTTTATACTGTAGGTTTTCTTTACAAAATAAAATAAATGAATACATTTTATTAAAAATGTATATCAAAGAAAAAAGCAATAAAAAAATATTATTGCCATTATCAAAGCTACTAATTTTGAATAAAATTTGAAATTATATAGCTATAGCTATAACTTCATAATTTATTTTTCTGGAAAACAGTACTGAATATTTGTGTATATAATGACAGTAATGTAATTTTCAGTCTATTTTTTCTACAACTGCAAGTTTCGTTATAATGTATAACCTTATATATTATGCCGTTAGATAATCTTAACTTGTATATAAATCAGCTCAACTTGCAACAACTCGTAGCATAAAATCAGATGTACATGATCAACATAGCACTCCATGATAGAGCAAGTGTCTGTTTTAAAACTGGCCACGAAACTCTCTGGAACTGGCCAACTTAATTACTAACCCCTGAGTGATGGCTTCACCACTGTGCAATTATAGAAAATGAATCAACATTACTGCAATGGGAGTCAAACGTCTGGAATGGAGAATTCAAAAGTGCTGTGAATTAAGTAATATGACACCCTGTAATGATGTATGATATCAACTCATTTAGTAATGAATCATGCTTGACAGCAGGTTGAATAATGGATTTGTTCCTTACTGCAGAACGAACAACTGCGACAGGATGTGGAGTTCTACAGAAAGGAAGTAGAGCAGAGAGAGCCTCTTCAGACCAAAGAGGAGAGCAATGAGATTCAGAGGAGACTTACCAAAGCCAACCAACAGCTCTACCAGTGCATGGAGGACCTGCAGGTAATCCCCAAATCACCTTCAGCCTGCCTTATAATGCCATCATAACATGGCAGGCTCACTGTCTAGATTAATACACCTCTAATGCTGCAGTTCTTCTTTAAATGGGATGTATTTTACACTTATTTTACACATTTATCATTTTCTCATAAGCATAAACTGAAAAGATGAAAATAAATTTGCACAGTAAAAAATTTTATATGTATATATTAGTGCTGTAAAACGATTATTCGCGAAGATAACTCGAAGACATTTGTGTGGCAAACGAGTAAATCATTGAATAGACATTACAAAAACCTAATGTTGCTTTTTATTCTCAAATTTTCTGTCATTTCAGTCATTTTTAATTAATTATAATAACTTAACATGTTCAGTTGACAACATTTAAAATACAGAGAATATTTTTATAGGCTAGTTCAAAGTAAAGAATAAACTCCAGACACAAATGAAGTTCACGTAACCTGATTGAGAGAGTTAAAACACTCAAAAGTGTTTCTGTTTTTAACATTTATGACACATAACAAATGGAATACAAATAGCTGCTGTAGAGGAATATCAAATAAACTAACAAGTATCATATTTAACATCCTGACACTACTGCGACTCCAAGCACTATAACTATTTCCATTGTAACTGAATAGACATGTTTTCTGATGGAAAAGGCCCAAAAAGCTGAACAACTAGTAATTAGAGTTGCCTCTAAGCCAGTGTTGGGCAAAATTGGCACTTCCAGGCCACTTTCCTGCAGAGATTTGATCCAACCCTGATCAAACTCACCTGCCTGTAGCCTTCTAGTAGTCTTGAAGACAATGATTAGCTGGTTCAGGTGTGTTTGATTTAAGGTTGGAGCTAACCTCTGAAGGAAAGTGGCCTGGAAGGGCCAAGTTTGCCCACCCCTGCTCTAAGCGGTGAAAAATCAGCGCCAAAAGTCTAACCTGCAGAATAGTATCACACATCCTGACAACCCATAGACCAACACTGTCACAGTGTGAACATAATGTGAAATGAGGTAAATGCCAATTTTATTCTTTTGGTAGCTGAGAGTTCTAGATGCTGTAAACTGTCATGTATTTGTATGTTTGTGTTTCAGAGTATTTTATCAGGGAAAGATTTGGAAATGTTGGAGTATCAGCAGATGATCAGAGACTTGAGGGAGAAACTTCGAGCTGCTCAGATGGACTCTGACAAAAGCAACATTATCGCACTGCAGCAGGTCAGTCAGACACACATATATATCATTTATATATAATTTTTTTAAATAAAATAATTTATAAATAAATAATTTACATTTACATTCATCCAACAAAATTTATATCACTGTTTTCAACATTGATAATATTAAGAAATGTTTCTTGAGCAGCAAATCAGCATATCAGAATGATTTCTAAAGGATCATGTGACACTGAAGACTGAAGCAATGATGCTGAATATTCAGCTTTGCCATCACAGAAATAAATGTCATTTTAAAATATATTAAAACAGAAAACAAGCAAACTAAATATAAATTATACACTGGGTATATATAAACTTGTGTTTTGATAAGAAATTACAATTTCTGAATTTAAGTTCAGTTCATTAATCATGTATGTAGAGGTGATGGTATTTTAAAGGGGTCATATGATGCTGCTAAAAATAACATTATTTTGTGTATTTGGTGTAATGAAATGTGTTTATGTGGTTTAAAGTTCAAAAAACACATTTTCCACATACTGTACATTATTGTTTCTCCTCTATGCCCCGCCTTTCTGAAACGCGTTGATTTTTACAAAGCTCATGGGTCTGAAAAAGCGAGGTGTGCTGTGATTGGCCAGCTATCCAGTGCGTTGTGATTGGCCGAATACCTCAAGCGTGTGACGGAAATGTTACGCCCCTCACATACTGTTGATGCCGTGTCAGGCCGGAGCGACGAGACATAAACATTAAAACCCATTATAAACGAGGCATTTGTTGCATCCAGTGGGGACATAATTACTGATTATAATGACTTATACTGTCTTTTTACGCGTTGCATTGCATCGCGCCGCGTAAACATAAAACTCTGTCTGCATTTGTGATCGGAGAAATGACAAACAACAAGTGCTACTCTACACTGCCCAAAACTCGCGTTTGAATCATCAGTGGCAACGAAAAACACAGCGGCCTAGCGTGAGGGGAAGCCCCGGCTTAGCGTGCGCTGAGGCGCGGGATAGAGTGAGCTGAGGCTGGCTGGACTCCACTTCGTCCACAGTGAAAGTTGATGTATTTCCTCAGCGACCAGCACGGATCAGCTCCAGGCATGATGAAGTGGATATCGTCCTCTTTTGGAAGACCAAACAAAGTCGTTTCGCTTTCACAACGAAACACACAGCGCCTTCACGACATGGAGGCAGCAGCAATACTACAGCGAGAATAAAAGTTACGCCTTCTTTCTTTGC